GCATTCTCAGGTGCCAAATCCGAGTGTCAGTTGGGCGACCGATAATGTTGGCCCACAATCCCAGATTTCCTATGAAAGTATTCAGTTTCACAGAAAATGGCAAACTTTGTTAAGACGACATGAGAAATCTTTTCTGAACTCCGAAAATTAGATGTTTTTTCGAATCGAAATCCCACTCCCGAGCGGACACTCACAAAACACAAATCAACAGCTAATAGGCTTCGGTAGTTGAAGATGTGACGTTCTTACTGCCAGTTTAGGCACTAGGATATAGCTCCAAATGTAAAGCTCATCATGTGTCCAAAACCTTAAAGTCTATGATCACGATGGCTGGTGGGCGGTTCAGTTTATGTGACGTTATTGAATGTCATTGGTGAAAGAGTATCAAGGAGTGGTTCCAGCGACACCCCAGTACGTTGACGGTTCCAATCGGTGTTCAATGATGTCATCGAAATCGCACCGCCATCCAGCCATCGTGATCACTGCCTTCAAAGATGAAGCATACGATGAAAAGTCAGCCCATCGAAAATGGAAATGAAAATGAAGCTAGAGGTGATCAGTAAGCCTAGAGTGATCCAAGTGGTGAAGAATAAAAAATATCATCACTAATCGGCTAGGGAATTCGAGCACGGTTTGCGTGATTGGAAGTTTAGACAGTAGTTCATTGTTTGGTCTCCCTCAGCGAACGCATTTCTGTGCTAGAGCGGCTAGAGTCAGCTGGCGCAGAAGGCGTAGCAATCGGATTAGAACTGTAGTGGATAGCCAAATAATCACCATCTGGGGAATGGCTCTACTAGAAACGCGGGATGCTATTTCGAATGTTGGAGAATAGTTCCCGCATTTTCGGGGAGACGAATTGCTAGTCCGCAGGAAGGGATATTATTTAGTCCTTTGAATTCTTTCATGGCTCCTGCTGTGCCACACTAATGCTGATAACCAAAGATGTGCGCCGCGTGAGAGCACAAACGGGCTGCGGCTGGCGAGAGTGAATGTGTTTTGCATTGGCCCGCGTGGTATGGGCCCAGGCAGAACGATTCGCCTCCCTGATCCGCACATGGCTGGAAAGATGGAATTCCAGGTAAAAGAAAGTTCTTTAAAATTCATGCTGCCTGAGCGGGTAACCCAATAAACCTACCACGACTGAGGGTTGAGCCTCAGTAAAAGCGTTGAGCAGGAGGAGTGCACAGACAACGTAGAAGAACATGATGAAATCCGCTGAGCTGATGCCGAGCACTAGATACTGCCCTATTTATATTGTTAATATCGCTTTTTTGAATATCGGAAACAAAGCTTCTGTGAGCGCCATTTTGTGGATTCTATAGGTAAACATGTATGTGGGCATAGCTCTTTGCAATTATAGGGGAAACTTACTGTGCAAGTTCCGGTTTTGGGCTATTCTTTTCATCAGCAATCGAATCCCATACGAAAATGAAAGGCTCGTGACAAGTCGTTAATAATGTTTTTATGGTAGATTTTGAGAAGAGCTACCAAGGGAAATGTGTCCTCATCACGAAAAAACTGTTTACAGTGGGAGTGTAAAAAATCACAAAAAGTTGTCTCTCTTGGCACGCTGCAAAAGCTTTCCAACTCTTAGTTTGACGGTTATAAGATTTAAAGGCACACGTCACGAATTAATTCAATGGAATAATCTCTACTTTGTGGAAGAGGGATCCGCAGTCATGGAGTTCGTAGCACTCGGGTAAATCTCAAGTACGCGTCTAGGGCGGTGGGATCTTGTGAAGTCGCTGCTACCCTTTCCGTCGCCGTCCGCAACATACGAGTTGTCTGCGCCCTCTCGCACGGTGTGTTCTCTCGGATACTCCTTCCTCAACACGTATGTCTCCCGCCGTAAGATGCCTTTATTTCAGTTCTTCCAGTGAGTTTTTCCCTTTTTCATCACTGGTGGTCTTTCTTGCACTTCGACTTCAATTTTCAAGTGAAATAAACGGCCAAATGACTCACTAAACCTGTTATAGTGGTAAGAAAATCGGGAAATTTTCCGTTGTTTCTAAAATCTTTCGGAGAACTGATATTGTTGCAGCGTCAAGGCCACTAAATCTCTCATAATGATGGCTCTGGAAAAAGAAGTGAATCGAATTCAGTTTCCAATGTTTACAAAGCTATGCCCACATATTTACTTGTGGAATACGGTAAACCTTTGTCACTGCGCCTTTGTTCGATCTTCTAAAAACTGCAAGGATCGTATAATATTGTCTTAAGTAAGGATTGTTTTCATACAGTCCGGCGGTTGATTTCTAATTTCTCTTACATTGTCTTGCAGTCCTCAATGCTCAAACGCTTTACTGAAGGCGCAATCTCGTCGTGGTGGGTTATTGGTCCCGCTCAGCACATAAATAATTCGAAAGAACTTCTACTAAATATCCATCTTTCAGCATTGCGGACCCCAAGAGGTGAAGCGTTCTGCCTGGGCCTATACCACCGGGCCCATAAAGCGCTAAGGGGCGGGGGGGGGGGGAACTTCAGCCATTTGCGCAAATGTACTGCGCCAAAACATGTGGCATTTGTCATTGATGACATGATAATTGCCTTCACAAATAAATATTTATCAAAATTTTGTCACTACATATCCATCGATAACAGAAATAAATCAATACAAGCTTCACATGTGTTGAGGGAAGAAATCAGAAAGCGGCAGCTGGAAAGCTGGAGGTGCAAACAGGTTCGATTTCCGCCTCCGGCGAAAGTTTTGCCCATAACTCAGAATATTCGTGAAATATTTGCGACGCAAACTGTGGCGTTTAAACAGCAATTAATAGACGAAAGAAGACAACATCAGAGCACAGGGCGTATTTCTCTGCTCTTGCTATGCGTTTGACCTACATCCAGGATTTTTCGTATTCACTTCCATCCCCATCTTTTTACGTTCTTTTCAATTCCTGACTAAACCGGGCACCTCCGGGACTATCCTGATCGATGAATTCGTGTTTACTGACCGTGCAAGTGTCGTCGGCCTGTTCTAGCCCACCTTATCACCATTTACTGAGCCATGGGGTTATGGCATTTCATTACGGCATTTACTGCGCAAAAAGCATTTCCTCACCATTTATTCCGTTCTTGCCCCTAAAACTAACCCATTCATCTGAAGCGCATTCCTTTGCTCTTCTGGGAAGAACAGTGCAAGTCTGTTCACATTCTTGAGGCCAGTGTCCCTTTTTTCTTAAGACGCGTTTATGGGAGCGCGAGGAGCTCTCACAATTTGCAACCATGCACACGCATCCATCAGTGCCCGTCCACCGTTGCGGTCTACGTCTAGATCTTCTGCTGTCTCGTCTCCGTGTCTGTCCTTTCGCCTCGCGCACAGTGCTTCTTAGACTGTCTGCTTTTCAGACTATCTAAGACCTTCCAGGCTCTGACGAAGCCGAAAAGCCGAAACGTCAGCCGGATAAAGCTATTGTATCATCTTGGATGAGAACTCATGGAAGAAGCAACGGGTGTTTCAGTGAGGTCAAGGAGCGGTATCCGGCTGTTTTGAATTTCTTTTAGCTGCATCATTCCTTTTGCCACGACAGGAGTGGATTTCAGATGGCCTAGGAGATAAGCGAAAAAAAGCTGAAGATTATTATGAAATTATGTCTTGACATAGTGTGCAATTACTGGCAGTGACCAACCGAAAATTCGATTTTTTCCTTCTTATTAACGAAATTAATTCTCGGCGGTACCACTTTACTGCCCGAAGCTTCTCAGCGACCGTTTCATCTAATTAATTTTTTTATTATCACTGAAGCTTTAGAAACCTGAAGAACCAACCTACTGGAGAACCAAACTAAGAAATCACTGACTTACTTTGATCCACAATAAGCATGTTCTCTTCCCAGAGCCTTGATTGATTCACATAGTCTTGAAAGTAGAATATTACACACTTTCCTTTGATCCCCACTGTGTAATATTACAAATTTGCATCTTGGGGAAGAATTCAACCGTGGTGAATGGGATTTCGATTCAAAAAAAAACATCTGATTTTCGGAGCTCGGAAAAGATTTCTCATGTCGTCCTAACAAAGTTTGCCATTTTCTGTGATACTGAATACTTTCATAGGAAATCTGGATTGTGGGCCAACATTATCGGTCGCCCAACTGACACTCGGATTTGGCACCTGAGAATGCACAGGCTCATGCCCATTGCAAGAAACAGATCATGATGGATGCCCGTTTGGTGTTGTCGTAGGCTTACGACTACTGTAACTGGTAATGAAATGGCCTCACTACTTGAAGCAACAGTCTCTGCAGGGTCCATACCTTCGATACTAATGGTGTGGAAATGAGCTAGCGCTAGCCCTAGTCAAGAATACAAGAAACGTTACTGAACAGAAAACTCACATTGGAAAGCCGCCTGAATTGACTTGAAAGCTTTCGAAGTGGGCGTTACCGACAATATTCGGTAACGCCCACTTGCCTGCCGTGGAGATCGCGTGATTGGCTGCGTGGCCCTTGCGCGATTGCGCGTAAACTGTTCTGCACTTCGAGGGATGTCGCCTACTTTTTGTTCGGTTTTGCTTGAATCGTTTGATTATCGTATTCCTTGTTTGTACTGGTGCATGTATTGGTTTGTATTGGTGCATATGAGAATGCACCCGCATTTCTTGCTGGTACGACCCAGCAATAAATGACGGCGGAGCAAGCTAGTTCAGACAGCTCGTCCAACACGCATTTTCCTTCGTTTGAAAGGGGAAAATTCTGTTTAGAGGCTTCGCTCTCCTTTGCTTTTATCAGCAGTCAACTGGCCATCTACTACTTCATTATCGACCGTTTTCACCCCATGAGTTCGATCTGGAATTGTAGCTTTGATTGCGGTAACGACGGAATACGAAGGAATTTTTGGAATATGTAGTGGAAATAATGGTTGCCATTCCTGAATCGGGTTGCATCGATGGCCTCACTAATGGCAAAAAATCCAAATAGAACCAATAAGTTATATATATTGAAACTAGTGTGAAGAATAGCATTTGGTAAGTTTTTATTTCGAAGGCACTTATCAAGTCATCAATGACAAATACCACATGTTTTGGCGCAGTACATTTGCGCAATGGGCTGGAAGTCCGGACTGCTGCATTGGCCCGCGTGGTATGGGCCCAGGCAGAACGATTCGCCTCCCTGATCCGCACATGGCTGGAAAGATGGAATTCCAGGTAAAAGTTCTTCGAAATTCATGCTGCCTGAGCGGGTAACCCAATAAACCTACCACGACTGAGGGTTGAGCCTCAGTAAAAGCGTTGAGCAGGAGGAGTGCACAGACAACGTAGAAGAACATGATGAAATCCGCTGAGCTGATGCCGAGCACTAGATACTGCCCTATTTATATTGTTAATATCGCTTTTTTGAATATCGGAAACAAAGCTTCTGTGAGCGCCATTTTGGGATTACGCAAGTAAATATGTGGGCATAGCTATTCGCAAATATTGGGGAAAATTATTGTGCAAATTATGGTTTCAGTCTATTCTTTCCGTCAGCAATCGGACGTCATTCGAAAATGAAAGCCACTTACGCTTATGAGACCTAAAGGCATACGTCATGATTAATTTACTGGAATAATCTCTCCCATGTGGAAGAGGGATCCGCAGTCATGGAGTTCGTAGCACTCGGGTAAATCTCAAGTACGCGTCTAGGGCGGTGGGATCTTGTGAAGTCGCTGCTACCCTTTCCGTCGCCGTCCGCAACATACGAGTTGTCTGCGCCCTCTCGCACGGTGTGTTCTCTCGGATACTCCTTCCTCAACACGTATGTCTCCCCGCCGTAAGATGCCTTTATTTCAGTTCTTCCAGTGAGTTTTTCCCTTTTTCATCACTGGTGGTCTTTCTTCGCACTTCGACTTCAATTTTCAAGTGAAATAAACGGCCAAATGACTCACTAAACCTATAATAGTAAGAAAATCGGGAAATTTTCCGTTGTTTCTAAAATCTTTCGGAGAACTGATTGTTGCAGCGTCAAGGCCACTAAATCTCTCATAATGATGGCTCTGGAAAAAGAAGTGAATCGAATTCAGTTTCCAATGTTTACAAAGCTATGCCCACATATTTACTTGTGGAATACGTGAAACCTTTGTCACTGCGCCTTTGTTCCGATCTTCTAAAAACGCAATATTAATCGTATAAATAGGGTCGAGTAGGATGGTTTGTCATCAGTTCAGCGGATTTCATCATGTTCTTCTACATTGTCTGTGCACTCCTCCTGCTCAACGCTTTTACTGAGGCTCAACCCTCAGTCGTGGTAGGTTTATTGGGTTACCCGCTCAGGCAGCATGAATTTCGAAGAACTTTTACCTGGAATTCCATCTTTCCAGCCATGTGCGGATCAGGGAGGCGAAGCGTTCTGCCTGGGCCCATACCACGCGGGCCAATGCAGCAGTCCGGACTTCCAGCCCATTGCGCAAATGTACTGCGCCAAAACATGTGGTATTTGTCATTGATGACTTGATAATTGCCTTCACAAATAAATATTTGCCAAAATTTTGTTTCACTACATATCCATCGATATCAGAAAAAATCAATACAAGCTTCATGTGTTGGGGAAGAAATCAGAAAGCGGCAGCCTGGAAAGCTGGAGGTGCAGGTTCGATTTCCGCCTCCGGCGAAAGTTTTGCCCATAACTCAGAATTTTCGTGAAATATTTGCGACGCGAACTGTGGCGTTTAAACAGCAATTAATAGACGAAAGAAGTCAGAAATAAGAGCATCAGGCGTTTTTCTTCTGCTCTGCGCTATGCGTTTGACCTCCACCCAGGATCTTTTGGATTCACTTCCATCCCCACTTTTTATGTTCTTTGCAATTCCTGAACAAACTGAAGACTATCCTGATTGATGTGAATTCGTGGTCGCTGAGCGTGCAAGCGTCGTCGGCCTGTTCTAGCCCACCTTATCACCACCTACTGAGCCATGAGGTTACGACATTTCATTGTGGCATTTATTGCGCAGAAAGCATTTCCTCACCATTTATTCCATTCTTACCCCTAAACTGAGCGATGAAATTACTGAGGGCGATTCCTTGCGGTATCAGATGCACCTTTGATTCTTGGGGCCAGTGTCCCTTTTTCTTAAGACGCGTTTATAGGAGCGCGAGGAGCTCTCACAATTTGCAACCATGCACACGCATCCATCAGTGCCCGTCCACCGTTGCGGTCTACGTCTAGATCTTCTGCTGTCTCGTCTCCGTGTCTGTCCTTTCGCCTCGCGCACAGTGCTTCTTAGACTGTCTGCTTTTCAGACTATCTCTGACCTTCCAGGCTCTGACGAAGCCGAAAAGCCGAGGAAACGGCAGTCAGCCTATGAAGCTATTGTAATTTCTTGGGCTTTGATTGGCTTCAGAAGCAAACCTGAGAAGAATTCGTGTTTTGAGTAATTACCCCCGGAGTTAACTTCTAGCCAATCCTGTCGTGGGACAAATTTCGATTAAATCCAGCTCAGTTCTCGAGGAGTGGGGCACTAAATTGTAATGGTTGTGTCAAGGAAAGTAGATAGGCAAGTGGGTGATGGGAGATTTAGACCTGGGTTAATGCATCATATCCATTACTTGGCCATTGAGCTTCACATTTCCAACTTCCTCACCTCCTTGTAATAATTCGTACAGGTGATTGCTGCATGGTGCAAACGTCGTCGATATAATGTCTTGGTGAAAAGCGCAGCCGAAGAGGCGGATACGGTATTCAGCGATGCTCATCTTGGAGTCACCGATACGGCAGGAGAGTGTTGTCTTGGTTGTTTCCAGGTGATTCTAGCTAGAGCTTAACTATTTATTACGAACTTATTGCGAAGTGATAGTGATTGGAACTCCCTGAGTATTACCATTCTTACTGTAAGAAACATCTGCAGTAACTGCCTTTCTAGGATTTCTGTCTTAAACCACTTCTGAATATTTTTTAGGCTATCACATAACGAGGTACTACCTCCATCACCCATCGATTTCTGTTTTCGTCTTCGATCTCAGAGCTGCTATAGAACGCATTCTCCCGATGAAGATCTCCAATCAAAAGCTCAGATTACTTTTATGCGCCGCTCTGTATTTATAGGTATTGATTCGTTGGATATGTTTTTCCTTGAATTAAGTTCAATAAAATTAACCAGCTGTCATTGCATAGCTCGCTGGGAGCTATTCAAGATTGACATATAGGTGAGAATTTGCAATTTGTATTGTTCATGGCGTACAGGAGAAAAATAAAAAGGATTAAGCATCATCAAGTATCCGCCCTTCACCTGGCTTCTTCGGAGTACGCCATGCACTTCACTCCAAGATCGTGATGGAATTTGAGTGAAATTGTGGCTTCATAACAATGAAAAACGGTGTTTTAAATCTTCTGATGGCTAGTGTAATTAGCTGATCCATGAGAAATGGAAATCTCGTTTGGTGTGCGAGATTCGAGGACGGTGGTCGGTACTCGAGAGCCTGTTCCGTTGAAAGCGAGGGGTCCGCTTGGTACTACACTTTCGAGAAGGGACAACAGAATCGTCCGGCCTTTGCACCGCCGCGTGCAGCCGCTTGCGCGACGTCGCGCGCGGCGATTTCCCGATTGGCGCGAAATTTTTGAACTTGACGATTGGAACAATGAGCTCTTGTAGTCCACAATAATCTATGTGGGCTGCGGATATCAAATTCCACCCCATGTGCTCTGGCCCTTTCATATTTAGAAAATAGTGGCGCGAACAACCTTGTTTCCAAAATTCATTGTCGCAATATTGAAATACGCAGAAAGAAAAAAAGGTCCGAGGGGATTGAAGCTATCCGCCCATCGATTGAAAATATTGAAGGAAGGTTCCTGCTTGGCGTCATTTTATCCCAAATTCAAATAGCACACAGAAACTCGTCCCCTGCGGTCGAAAAATTGCCGTCACGACCAGTAGCGCGAAGATCCGTACGAATCTGTGGACATAATACACCCCACCTTGGCCGTCAATTAGAAGCATATGTTTAATTAAGTACAGACGAGGAATTCTTTGAAAAATAGAGTACAAGACTTCCGATAGACCGACCCGATTCCAGAATAAGCCGCACATTCCTCTTCCATGTAAAATTGATAGTGGCATTTGAATGCGGTGACCCCATAGAAGATGACTCATGGTGCCAACGGATACACCTTTGTATCTGGCGACCAGTTGTGTGCTCACTGCAGACTTCACAGTACAAGTGACGACCCTCCACAAAGTGTAGTATAATATTTTCCTGCGACGAAACTATTGGCCTGTTGCTACAAATATCACTATAAACTACTAATTATCAGATTATCAAACAGATTGGGTTACAAGACTTCTGTCAATCAACGGGTGAGAGTGTAAATGGAAAAGCTACGCTTTAACTAGTAGTATGACCGAGCCTTTGAAGGAATAAAGCAGGGATGCTGTAATAGTGTGCATATGTGAGAGCTACCAGACAACGCTGCAAAATTCTGGATTACCCAACCTCGCTGTTGACAGAAATCCTGAGACCTTTAGATGGAGACCGTCGTCACTTGTGTTGTTGATTCTGTATTGCAGAATTCCCTGGCCGCCAGATACAAAGGGTATGATACCTGTCAGTATTAGCTCTAGTTGGCTTGAGCGTGATTCCAGAGAAAACCCACGACTTGCCCTCGGACCGTGCTTATGGAATGCCGCGCTTCCTGCAGCCACTTCTGCTCCGTACGTGAAGAAGCACACAATGTATCGATGCAAAGCAATCAATAAGTCGAAATACATGGGGATCGATTAT